TTATAATAATAAGAACCTTATGAGGCAGGTACTGTCCTTGTGGACTCAGAAGCTGCATCATAGAGAGGCAGCCTGACTTCCCTATGGGCAGGTAGTGTATGGTGGAGCTGGATTCCAACCACTGATGCTTAGGAAATCTTAGAACACTGAACCCAGTGCCTCCCAAGCTGTGGTCCCTGGACCAGCAGCTCCACCTCACCTGGAACTCATTAGAAGTGCCAGATCCCAGGCCTGGTCCCAGACCTTCTGATCAAAAGCTCTAGGGTGAAGGCCCAGCAGTCTATGTTTGAACAATCCTTCCAGGTGAATGCACCTCAGTTTTGAGAGCCAAAGGGCCAATTATAAGAGCCAAAGGAAATCTTCCCTTCTGTCCTCTGAAGGTTTGCTGAAAATGGCCTAGAATAGACAGATTAATAGAAGAAAATAGCATATGAAATTGTATTTAATGAGGCTGGGCATGGTGGCTCATGCTTGTAATTCCAGCACTTTGGGAGGCCAAGGTGGGAGGATCATTGAAGCCAAAAGTTTGAGACCACCCTGCATAGCAAAATAAGATCTTGTCTCTACAATTTTTTTTTTTTTTTAATTAGCCAGGTGTGGTGATGTGTGTCTGTGGTCTCAGCTACTTGGTAATCAGAGGTTGGAGGATTATTTGAACCCAGGAGTCGGAGGCTGCAGTGAGCTATGATTGTGCCGCTGCACTCCAGCCCAGGCAACAGAGGAAAACTTTGTCTCCAAAAAAATAATAATAAAATTATTTAATGTGAAAAACACAGGGAAATTGCAGGAGAATGATTACCCAATAACCCAGTGAGCTCAGGCTACTTACTTGCCCTTCCTCATTGGGGAAGGAGAAATGGGAGGTTGAGGAGTAAGTAATTTTTAGGGGAAATGGATGAGCCTGAAGAACAACGGCCTGAGACAAAATACTTCTGAGCTCTCGGGGAGGCGGTGGGAAGGTGAGGGCAGAACTTCACTGTGAACAAAGGTTGTCTTACTAGGCAGATAAAGCTTCCTAGGTAATCTCTCGGAGCCGCTCTCAGAAAAATAGATGAAAGTCTGCCTGAGCGTGGTGACTACGTGTAGTATCTTTCCCAGTGGATAATCTCTCCAGGTTATTTTATGAGATTTCTAGGCAAGGGGGAGTTTTAAGAAATTGCGTTTCTCTTGGAAAGCAGCTTTCTTAGGCAGATAAGGAAATTCCAGAGAGTCCCTCCTGGTGCTTTGGGAAAGTAAGAGGATCAGAGAGACAGGGAGGTAGGAAAGGTCAGAGAAAGACCTTGAACCCGCTTCTTCAGTTCAGCATGCCAAAGCACCAGATTCTGGGGTATTGTTTTCTGAGCCTGAACACAACATTCTTGCATCTTTTCTTGAAATTTTGAAAAGAAAAATAGTATAGATATATATTTAAAAAGTCTGATGGATTGGTTATTAAAATATTAACAGTGTCACTTCTGGATAATGGGGTTCTGGGTGATTTTTATATTTTTCTTTTTTGTTTTATAATTCCAAAAGGTACATAATGAACTTCTGTGACCAAGGTAAAAGAAAAAATACATGTTCTTTAAGAAAAATAAGAAGGGGCCAGGCGTGGAGGCTCATGCCTGTTATCCCAGCACTCTTTGAGAGGCTGAGGTGAGTGAATCACTTGAGGTCAGGAGTTCAAGACCAGCCTTGCCAACACAGTGAAACACCATCTCTGCTGAAAATGCAAAATTTAACCAGGTGTGGTGCACAGGCTTGTAATCCCAGCTACTGGGGAGACTGAGGTGGGAGGATTGCTTGAACCCAGGAGGTGGAGACTGCAGTGAGCTGAGATTGTGCCACTGCACTATAGCCTGGGGGACACAAAGAGACTCCGTTTCAACAAAGGAGGAGGAGGAGGAGGAGGGGGAGGAGGAGGAGGAACTCTGCCTGAAAACTCCGTGAGAGGGCATATATTTTGGGTAGAAGGGAAGTAGAGAAGAAAATGACTCCCCTAAATCATATACAACTCCAGCAGTGCTTCTCCAGCATGAATGAATCGCCAGGGGTCTTGTGAAAATGCAGACTCAGTGGGGCTTGCAGCTAAGATGCTGCATTCCTGGAGGATGCTGACGATGCTGGTCTGGGGTCCACACTTGAAGAAACAAGAGACCAGAGAGATGTAGGCTATTGACTTCCAGAATGCCAGCTTCACGAGGGACCTGGTCCAACGACAGATTTCCAGTACCGAGAACAGAGCAAAGAATAGTTATCGAATAAATAAATGGAGATGCTGCAAGCCTCCTCATTCCAGAGGACCTAGAAATGGGGGCTCTGGTCATGGTTCTGGATCTGAGGCCAGCAAAACCTTTGGCAAGCTGTGGCCTCCCTGTGATGGCAACTATCACTGGGCAGGGTGACAGCTCTGGGCCCTTCTTTCATATGACCCAATATGGAAGACCAGTTCAGCCCCAGCCACCCGGGCTACCCGACATTTCAGCCTTGCACCAAACAAAAAGTACCAGGAACTTGGTAACACAGGTGTTCTGAGAAGCCCAAAGAAAGGAGCTAGAGATGAAGAAATATCTAAGTTGAGGTTTCTGTAGAAACATTAACTCATCTGCATAGGCTGCGTGCTGCATTTGGATTACAGGTTAGGCTCATAAGCCTGAAATAAATTATATACTCTTCGTATTATTCAGCACTGTACTGTATAATAATAAATTATACAGTTATAGGCCTCAGCCCAAGTTATAACAAATTATACCACAGTGTATAATTACCCTGCACTGCACCATATAATAATAAATTAGACAGCTACAAACCTAAGTTGTGATTCCAGAAAGAGATAGGAGAATGAGTAGTGGCTATTGATCCATTCCTCTGATCAGTCAGACGAGCCTGGAGCCAGAGGATGAAGAGTTTAATTCCGTATCCCTCCCTCCTTCCCTCCCTCCCTCCCTCCTTCTTTCCTTCCTCCC